TCCTGCTGAGAGCACTGTAGTGCTGAGGAAGAGCAATGGATCAAACGGGAGAAAGCTTTTGTCTTGGAACAGGGATTAAATGTGACCCAAACAGGGCTAACTTGGGCGTGGGAGCTGACCTGTTGAGCGTTTGGCCACGCGGGGACTGCTGCGTACGTACCACGGGCGGGGAGTACAGCGTGCTGACCGGCGGCGCCGACGAGGTCACGGGCGGGGGCTCAGCCTTTGGGTACATGGAGTAGGTTGTTTTCTGCCTCTGCAGAGCAGGAAAACAGACAAAGTCTCCCCAACAGCTCAGGGTGGCCAAACTGCTCCCATTCAACCCGTCCTGCACTTTGGGTGCGGGAAGCTCCTGCCGCTGGCCAGCCCCGGCCAGCTGGGGCAGGCTGGCGGGTCACAGGGCTCGTGGCTCAGGCACAGCCTCTTCCCAGGATTTGGTCCTCAGTGCTCTGAGGAAGGAGGCTGAGCTGCACCCCACACCCACAGCACGGACTGGACCTGCGTCACCGCGTGTGCCTGGCTCCAGCTCCCCCCAGGCCCCACGACTCGCACAGGGACACGCTGAGAGACTGTTACTGCACAGCTGGGGATGCCCAGCACGCGTGGGCTCTGCAGCAACAGCCATCGCCAACAGGGCACGAACCATTCTCTCCTTCTCCTCGGCCTCCGACTGGGACAAGGCGATAGCCAGCTGGAGCTCCTCCTCCTCCTGCAGAGCCGTCTCATCCCGCTTCGGAGGCAGCTGCAAGCGGAACGAGAAGGGACCGCTAAAGGGATCCAGGAGCAGGACAGAAGCCCCGAGTCACCTACAGGGCAGGTGCCCACCTGGGACTGCTGAGAAAGAGGGCTGGTCAGGTACTCGGGGGGCAGCTCGGAGGTGGCAGCAGCTTTGCCCTCGGCTTTCCTGTAGGCAGAAAGATGCAATGGAGCAGAATGAGGCCTGGCTGAGCCTGGGGGGATCCTCCCCAGCCCCAAGCTATAGCCCTGCTCCCAGGGAGGAAAGGGACCCCGTCCACTGCACGGCCTGGGAAACCCTTGCTCTGTTCCTCAGAAAGGCAGCCCCACAGCACGTTTCTCCCCTCCCAGTCCCAGCCACTGCAGGCACTGATGTGCCACAACGGCTACTGACTTGTTGAGGTGCTCGTAACAGGGCTCGCAGACTCTCACTTCCTTCTCAATCCCAAACTTGGGAATAGTGGAATACTTGGAGGAGCACTTGCCGCAGAAGATCTGCCCACAGGCCCGGCAATGATGCTGCAAAGGGTGGGAGACATCAGTGTGGCAGCGAGACACTCGCTCCGTCACCACGAGGTGGGGACACTCGGTCCCTCCTGGCGCTGCCCGGACACGCAGGCTCCGGAGTCCTGCAAGGAGCCGGCCAGGAGCGGGGAGCGCAGGGACAGGAGCGGCACCCACCTTCCGCGTCATGACGCCAAACTGCACTCGACATCTGTGACACTCCTCCGCATCCACCCAGTCCGGAGCCTGTTGAGGAGACTTGAGTGAGGAGGGATGCAAGGCCAGAGGGACGGGGCCTCCAGAGAGCCCTTGGGGAGCTGCTCCAGCCGAGCAAGGCTCCTTCTTGAACGGGGAG